GGTAACGTTCGCGTCCCTCGTTAACGTGCTTTCCGACCGAAAATGTACGCTCGAAAACGTTCGCATAAAACTAGTGTGACCTATTGCTGAGGAATACGTTTTGCCGATCCTCTTTTGACTGATTTTGATTTCAAACGCTCAAGTCGTAAGACTGTAAATCATTACACGGAATATTAATTATTGTAAATACGGTTTGTACGGTTGAAGTGCAAAAAATATGAAAACTTTTTTATTTTTCGTTACAGATATACAGGTACAAACGTAAAAATATTAAATCTTCAGAGATATACGTATACTCTGCATACCCTATTATATAACCATTTGGAACACCAAAAAAATAATTTAATAAAATCGAAACTTATACAAACTCTGAACCGTACAAATTTTCCACGTAACTCCGTACCATTCTATAAACAATCTTTTTTTTTTTTGCGCATCCCGAAGAAAGGGGTAAGTTTTGCGTAAATTCAAATGCAATAAATGCACTGTTAGAGAGTGCTGACTAAGAAATCATACAAGTATACAATATTATAAAATAAAACTTATTTGTTATCCAGAGCACGAGATCGATAATCTAAAAAAAAATAACAATAATGTTAGAAGGTGTTGTACTATAGTTTCAGCTATGATAGGTATAGTATTAATTTTCGATCACGATCAATTCTTATATGATAATAATATATACTAATGAAAATATATCAGTCACGAGTGTATTTTTTTTTTTTGTCCTGGCCAGCAAATAAAACGAAACCTTTGCGCGTTTTTTGAGGTATAAATCATCTCTTTATTGTACGTTGACATTATTCTACCGAGGTCTTATTGTCGGAACAACGATGTAGGACTCGTTCGCAAGGTTCTCGGTCCATAAAAACAGGAATGCGAACGACTGACGTTGACATTTGTTTTGCGGATAAAGATACGCGAGACACGTATACGTGTTGTACGTGTGGGTTTGTGAGCAAATCGAAGATCGTTGCTGCGTCGGACGTTAAGTCACCGGATTAGTTTCGAGCGGTAATAAGTACCTCTGCTTTACAGTGCACGTGTACGCTTTTGCTCCACCCGTTCGTCCGCACGGTCGTTACTGTGCATGTATATACACACCGGTTTGCCGGTGACGACGCTGGTCGTTCCATAAGATATGGTCTGCGTTTTATCGACAGTCCCGTGTGCCGAGACCCTTAGTGTCGGCTCATTTACCCGAAGACCCGTGTCAACGGCCGTAAATTCAGCAGCCCCACGCGAACGGGCAGGGTGCGTGCGCGCCGTACACTTTTGTGCGTTACGTCCGTCGTGTAGTAGGCCTCGTGTCGCCCGAATTATTGTTATTATTGTCGTCGCGGCGATGCGGCGGGGGCCAAAACTAATAACTGCAGGAAGACGTCGGGCTGACGAGCGAGAGACTGGCATTTTTACGATCTCGAGTCATGGTCCAGAGGTTTTGGATCGTCGTCGTCGGCGCAAAACGACGGAGTACGAAAATGATATTGGGAACTGTTCGACCGAAAAAACAACGGATTTTCATTTTCGTCTCTTTCTTATTTTTCCGGAACAAATTGAGCTGGAAAGATAAGAACTAAATGCGGCCCGCGTAAAAATCGTTTTCGTTTTCGCACATCGCTGCTCACCGTATTATTCTGTTCCAATATTAATAATACAAAAAAAAAATTACATTTTTACAGTTTTGTTGACAAAATATTCATCGAGTGTATAGATAAAACGGTATTACCGTATGTTTTGCTTGAAAAAGCTCAGAATATTGTATGTGTTTATCTAACAGAAATTATTATTAAATTTAAACAGGTAAACACTCATAAACGTCCACACAAGTATTCATTATATTTTCCCATTTTCACTTTTTTGTGTCCACGACGAAATGGAACATTTATGCATAATATAAAGTTAGTTTTAGTTTAATTTTGTTAATTTTTTATTAGTTTTAGTTAATTTTACATAAATGAATTTGTTGTTATAACATAATAATTAAAAAATCATAAACAAGAGTTTTCAATATATTATTTAATTTTAAACAAAAACTTATTTAATCGTTTAAAATTATTATTTTATTTCGTATTTGGACATGGTAGAAAAAAAATTTATTTTTAACAATATAAATATTAAAATCCAGATTAGTTATTCATAATTAACAATGATAAATAATCTTAAGTAAGTTTTCACTTGTATGGGAGTAAGATGTTTGCGTAATTCATGAAATAAATTTGAACTTGTATAATAATTATCTAATTCCAAAAAAAAATTATATTTTATGAAATGTATAATAAATATCATAAGAAATAAATTTGTTAAAAACCTTGTTGATAATGACAATTAACTTCTACACGTTATTAGAACGCACTAATGATTTTGATAAAAATACTTATCAAATATTTTACTTAAGTTTATTGCTTTCACAGAACTAGGTCAATGCAATAATATACAAATTAATCATGTTGCGGTTTCGTTATCAAAATATTTTGTGTATAAACTAGCGTTCTCTGTAATGTGTTTATTTTTTTGTAATTTTAAATTAAAGTATTAATATTTGTCTTTTTTTATCATCCTCTAATGTTATCACGTGATCGGTATCGAATTACTGTAGCGGAAAAATAAAAAGAACCTCCGCCATCCCTTTGACGTTGTCGTCGTCGGTGTACGTCAAGAGGCTTTTAACTAATTAAATATACATCGCACGGCGGTGGTAGTGCGACGGATGGTGACGACGCCAGTGGTGGACGGGAGTGTTAACAACCCCTACTTCTGCTGCCGGAAGGGGGTAATATTTATACATATATATATATATGAAAATTTTAAATAGGGTGAAAAAGATACGCTACTAGCGCAGTGTGTACGTTGGGGTCGATCGCGGTGTGGCGACAGAGTATAACCACCCGCGGGAGCTGTTAAAAAAAAAATGGAAAAAAAAAAATGAAATTAGTTTAAACTCGGCGGATCGTGTCATACGCGTTAAAAGTTACAGTTACCGAACACAATACGGCACGCAAATGTATTGACGGACACAGTTGTAGTGTTCTAAATTTTTTTTTCATTCATTCATTCATTACGCCTGTCATAACACGTCATGCGAAACAATCGTCTATTTTCTTCTTTTTCGCGCACCCGAGTGACGGAGGGAAGTCAACTCGTCGGGAAAAACGCCGCGCTGCACATGTCATTTTATGACGTACGCGTTTCCGACAGGTGCACGCGTATTGACAGTCCGTATCGCGAAATGCGCACGGCGAACGAAAAAAAAAAAAAAAATGAAAATATTAACAGCCACTTTTCCACTACGCGAAATAATTATTATTCGCGTCCGGAAAACGGGCAGAAAATAACGACGATCGAAAAACATCGTTCAACATTCGTCGGTTTCACGATTTCATCCAACGCGGAAGCCATCACGTGCACACGCGTGTACCGGTGTACTTATCATGTTGTATTTATTATTCGAGTGTGTGTTCAGTGACGGGAATACCAGGGTTCTAACCCGCTCCCCTTCGACATGTCTTCGTCCTAAAAAGGTTTCGATGTTGATGATTTTTTCGGCTGATTTTCGTATCAATCCACCGGTACAGTGAAATAACCCAAACCGAACCCTGCCGTACGCTACCGTGCGCGTATTCACGTGGGTAGGTCCGCGAAAGGATAGGTCAATATTGTCCGGTACAATATTAAAACAGCCGACCAGCTTATTATTATATACGTGTACGTACTGCACAGCACTGGGCCACAGGGAACGACCCCTACGGATCCCGGTCTACTACGGTTGTATCGCCACCCACCTCCGTCCGATCGTCGTCGAGGTTAATTAAAATCCATTATCGTGCTCGGCGGAACGGAAATCGGTGGACCCTCTGGTCATGCGACGCCTGCAGTGTGCGCGGGTACAACACCGAAGGCGAACGGTATGTACGCAGTAATTAAAAAACAATACTTCGAGGGAGCACGGAAAAAAAAAACGCTAAGCGAAACAAAGTCGTTTTACCGACGGACCCGCGACGGCCCTTTTTCAATAACGAATTCTCTTGCAACCCCTGGACGATATAGCGGTGCGTGCGGTTAAACATTTTATCGGTCACCGGACGCTGATGATGTAACGATTGTAATTGTTGAATCTCAATTGTCGGCTCGAATTTCATTTTTATCACCGACTTTGTTTTTTTATCGATTCGTCGAGCATTCAGAATGTTCAGTAATAATCCATAAGTTAAAATATCATTGTATTCCTCTTAAAACTTTAACTGCGAAATATCTATGATGTACATGTATTGAATTTCGTTGTAGCCCACACAAGTACAATCTTTAATGAATTTTCACGGGGCGACCAAGGACCGACTCAGTGGCGTAAGTGAGGGAAGGATAACTTACATTAAAAAAAGTAAACTTTTAGTTAGAGTTAAGATTAAAACATTGAAATATATGTAATAATTAAAAGAGGTCTTCTGATATTTTGGTGCGATCAAATAAATCATTTACTCACTACAAGAACATAAATAGAATTGAACTTGAACCTTTGAAGTTAGTATTCACAGAAAAAAAATTAAAAAATAAGAAATTAAAGAAACACTTTAATTGATTTAATTGTTATTTTATAACCATATTTCATTATTTTATTATTAATAATAATAATTGTTATACTATGCTTTTATTCAATAAATGTAATACCATATAGTAGATTATCAATACATTTATATACACATAAATGTTCGTTGAAATCGATGATTTATCTATATCGATTATCCATATCCAATGGAATCATTTACTAATGCAATCCATATGTATAATTTATTGTAATAAATTTTATTTTCATGCTTTTTTTTTGCTGCGTTGGTACCACTATTTAATTTAAGTAATCTATGTCCAATGTTACTCGTTTTATTCTATAATCATTTAATGAATATTTTCATTTTACAAAATTACATTTCATTCAGTTTTTGCTTAATATATAAAAAAAAAAGAAAAAAAGAACTATTTATCATTTGTCTTTAATCACTATAGTATACTTGAATAATTTTATGATTTATTTGTTTTCTTTATACCGGTGAAGTGAAAACGGCTGTAAACAAGAAGCCAATCTAGATTGAAGGGAACTACGAGTTTCACAAACATATTTAATATTGCCTACAAACTACAGGTATTATAAACAACATCTCTAAGTATTGTAAGAAAAATTAAATTTATGTTTCTAGAACTTTTAATCCTAATCTTTAACCATTAAACTCGTATAGCTAGCAATAATTAAGTTTTCTCGATTTTATAAATAATATTTTGATATAACTACAATTTTCTTTCATTTAGTTCTCGATTTTTTCTCTTAATAAATAATAATAATTACTCATTTTCAATTTTATTTCCTTAATTTTTTATGATTATTTAATATATTTTTTGGTTTAACCTACATGATATATATCTCAATTATACTTACCTATATTCATTTTAATAAGTAAACATTTTTTTTAAATTTCGTTCTAAATTAAATTGCCTCTCACTTCTATTAGTGGCGTAATTTAGGGAGGAAGATAACTAATTTATTTTCCACCGTTTAGAGTTTAGCTATTCAAAAGTCAGTACATCATCAAAATATAAATACGTCTTTTATAAAGCTATTGAAATTTCGTAAATAAAAAATATGAGACGTTATGTACGCATGCAAAAGTACAAATTATTATATTTTTGGCGTCCCCTTTCCCTTACATTAATCAGCATTTTGATAAAATGAGCTACCGAGTTGGCAATTTAATAAATGCATGCCGACTAACCTACTTTAGAAAAAACTGAAATGATTTCAATGTGTCAAGAGATACTTACTCATTTTTTTTCCAGTATTTAAATGTTTTCGTTTTAAATAAAAGTTATAGGTAGTAATAATTATTTTAGTTATATTTATGTTTTTTTGATCATAGATTTTTTTAATAAATTATTTGTTTTAAACAATATATTATTAAGCAACCAATAATTAAATATTCTTAGTATTGTAAATATAATTTTAAAATAACTTAAATCAATTATTATCTTTTATTAATTTGTGATTTTTTTTTTCATAGTTAATATTCTAAATTTTAATTTTAATTTTGCTTATGTTTTTTAGTTAGTAAATAATTTATTTACATTTCACATAAATCAAACTTCTCCCTAGGACTTCTTCTAATTTTTTGTTCATTATAGAAAAAATTAAATTTTGATTAATGATCAAAGTTATAACAATTTTAATAAAATTTGAGTTTCTTAAGCTGTAATTTTTCTTTTTTAAATTTTATATTTTTAAAACTAGCAATAATAAATTATTATTTGTTACGTAAATATTTTGAAATTACTAAAATCCATGATTATCTTTATTTTTCATTTTATAAATGAATATAAAATTATATTTCTGTTTCTTTTAATGATTAAATATATTTTAAACCAAGCTGCTTTTGGCCTCCAAACATACCTCTTTTAGCTTTCTTTTCAGTATTCAAATTCTTTTAACTAAAAACTTTTATTTATTTTTCTTTTTCATATCATAAACAAAATAATTTTAAAGGCTTCAATGGTAAATATTTTCTGTAATGTAAACATTATTTTGAAACAAATTATTTCAATAATTTGACAGTTTTTTGAATAATTTACACTCTAATATCAATTTTCTTTAGGATTTTTAGTTAATAATTGTACGCTTCTTTATATTATAACTAGTTAAAAAAATGTACTGGTCCACATGCGTTTTATTAGTCTGGCGATGGTAATCGTAAACGTCAGTAAAAAAATTTTTTTCGCGTTTATTTCAGCTTGAATTCAACGAGCACTCAATCATTATAAGTACCATTAGGCGTGTAAAATATACGTTTACGTTGTATTTTTGACTTCCAACTGAAACATTATTATGTTATTTGCACATAACTACATAAGTAATCGAACGCCTCTGGCACTTATCTGTATAAATCATAATAAATATTCAGTGTCATTATGTAAATTAAATTCTACATGGCTTTCGAAATCGAACGTCATGCCGAACTCATTTCATTCCAAGTGCGTAAGTGATTTCGGTCATTTATTGAAAATAGAAGCAGCTCTTTTGCGCATAAATGTTTGTACATCATGCTACGAAGGAAGATTTTACTTAAAAAAAATAATAACACACTGCTTTTTGGTACGGTTTGCGCGTCGCACGTGGCGTACCAATGCCTAACTCGATTTTGTCAAATATGCAGCTGCGATGCAATTGTTATCCGCTAAAAACCCTTTGTACGCGCGCGCGAATATAATATGATATAAAAATGTATCGTTTATATTGTGCTCGGCAACAAATCATTTACATTTGATTGGGTATCGGACAATAACGGCCGTCAATGTGTATACATGTATACATCGGCCCGTAAGAATTAGAAACAAAAAACCTATTCGAACCTTTTAGCCCAGTGCCAATAAATGTCTTGGGCTCGACAATACATGATTATTGTGTAACGTATAAGTGAATTACGCGCACGTGAACTGTTGTAAGCGCATGCAAAATTTCGCTGGCGATGCGCGAACCGTTCCGGACCCGGAAATTTTCGAAATCCGTGAAGCGTTCACTATTAGATGATGCATTTTTTACAACCCTTTTTTCTCATGTGTACAACAATTGCTCGGACGGTCGCGCATAAAAGATCGGATTATGTTAGATGTAGTATTATGTGTACCGCGAATAATGTAGGGTCCGTGCGAAATCGTTTTGAAAACGGGAAGTAGGAAATAATAATAATAATAATAATAATAAAAAAAAAAACGATTTCTAAGTCGTCGATTCTCCGCGTATCCTGCGCGTACAACAGTGGTCCGTTGTTCCGCGTTCGCGCATCCACACTTGTCAATCATTCGACACCGCGGCTACAAAAGTCAACACCCTTTTCGCCGTAGGATATTTTTCGTGCATCATCCATCTGCGGCCAGACGTGTTAATCGGCCATCTGTTACACGAGCGTTTCCAGTCACGTAAATTACCATATTATTGTACTATTGTCGTATCGGCTGCGTTCGAGTCAAGTGCAAGAGTAGGATTTCACATATTAACGCGCCCAGAACGCACTGCAGCGCAGTACAACGTGTACCGGTAGTGTACATCGTATTGTGTTGTCGGAAGGGTTGCTCAGGCGAGCGCGATCGGACAGACGGATGATGACGGTGACTGTTAAAGTTTAACGGCGTCGCTCGAGGTACAGTGGTCGGAGGACGGGGGTCGGGGGTTGTATTGGTTTTCGAAATAATGTTAATTTGACGTCGGTATGCCACCGTGACCGATTTTCGTGATGAACGTGATGATCGATGTGACACGCAGCACTGTAGAATTAGTAGTAGTGTGTATGTATGGAATTCAAAAATTGTAAACCGATAGACGAGATCATTTTTCACCCCAGTCCTAGAACAACCGTATCGCGGGGATAATTTAACCAAACAAACGTGATCGCGCCAAATCGGTATAATTCGACCGCGACTGTTACAATAGTGCAATACTATTCACATATGTATAGTTATTAGTGTTATAGCACATACGAGATCGTGTAGCTTAGAGATGATTGAGGGTTCAACCCTTTTCTAGAAAATATTTTTCACGGTAAGATTCATATATGTATATTTATGTGCCCTGTATAAGGCTCTATAATATTATTCATATAATAATGGTAATTACTGATTGAGATTAATGTCAAATGGATTATTTAAAGTTCAGTATACTAAATTAAACATAAACTCCATGAGCCATAAAGTGCAATCAAATAATGACAAATTATATTATCGGAAAAAAAAAATAATATCAATTCGCAACTATACCAGTTTATATGTATTTGAGTCTCGACATTTATTTGTACATACCAGTATTATGTTCGGTTCCGTTCTCCAGTCGACGTAAGACGATCGCATCGTTTACTTTTCACATATTGTTCCAGTAGAGCCTATCGCATGAATTATTGGACATTAGTAAACGTTTTAGATATTTTATTAGGAATGTGCTCAAACCGATATCATTATTTTTCCAAACACGGATCTCATTCCGAAGACCTTTTAACGGTGCATAGTGTTAATCAAAAGTAAAAACTTTAACTGCAGAAGTAAATTAATAATATAATATTCCATTTGTTTGTACAACGCTCACGTAAGTGTATTAAACTGTTTTACGTGATCCGACTTCAAAACCGCACTAATAAAACCATAATGCATTTGCGCGCATATATTAGATGTACGGAACGACGGATCGCTCTGAGCTTTCGTTATCTGACCTACGCAGCAGTCAGCTGACAGCAGTCACAGACTTTCGGGCCATAAACACCCCGTTACCGGTTAATGGGTAATTTTCTCTTAGCGTCGGCACTTAAAGACGTCTTTTTACTGTCGAATCCGAGAAGTCGAAAACCAACGGAGCCATCATCCGTCCGTCGTTCTCCCTCAACCCTCGTCCATTCACTCTTGTTTGAAGAACAAACGTCGCCCGTATTCATAAAACGACGCGCCCCCTGCCTCTCCTACCCCGCACGCAGAGTTATAAATATATATTAAAGAAAATGCCCGGTAAATAGGAGTCAATTGTTTAACGACCGTCGTCGGGACGTGTGTTAAAATGCAATTTTCCCCAGTAAAACTGCCGTCGGCAGTTAATTCGCGAAATCATAAAACACCCAAACGAAGATAACTCGGCGATCGTTTAACGGCTGTACACAGCCAGTTCGCATTAATGCGGCGAGTCGTAACACTGGCCGCCGCCCTCCGCGTCGCATTAAAATTCGTTATTTGCAATAATAATATCACGACAACCGTTAAAAAAATGTACTCCCGCGTGCACATAATATAATATATATATATATATATATATATTTATATATATGTACACACTGCGCGCTGGTGTCTAAAAGCCGAGATTTTTTTCTTTTATTTTTTTCCCTCGTCCTTGTATTGTAAATATTACACTCGCTGAAACCAAACATTACGTCTAATGGTTTCATAAACGTAAAACATTGGTTTTATGATGAACGGTTTTTTTTTTTCTTTTTTCGTTATACCACTGAGATATAATGTATGCGCGTAAATGTATCATCAAACCTTTTTATTTTATCCCACGCGTAGTCTTGCCACCAGCTCGGCGACGAAATCGCCGGGATCTTCCAGGGTCGGTCCAGTCGTTAC